GGTATTTCAACAGTTTGCTCCCACACAGAAACATAAAGTGAAAAATAATAGATGATTTTTTTAAAATGATGATGAAATCAGATCAGACCTATTGTCATGTTTAATCCCAGTGAGAGTCAAGTTGGGAATTGAAAATTTCTTTCTTTTTTTTTTTTTTTTTTTTTTTTTTTTTTTTTTTTTTTACAGAAGATCAGTTTAGTGTACATTAAGTAAAGATTTCAGTCGTTTGCACCCCCATAGAAACACAAAGTGAAATATACTGTTTGAGTACTCGTTATAGCATTAAGCCTCAGTGTACAGCACGTTAAGGACAGAGATCCTACATGAGGAGTAAGTGCACAGTGACTCCTGTTGTTGACTTTACCAATTGACACTCCTGTTTATGGCATCAGTAATCTCCCTATGCACCAGTTATGAGTTTCCAAGGCTATGGAAGCCCCTTGAGTTCTCCGACTCTTATCTTGTTTAGACACGGTCATAGTCAAAGTGGAGGTTCTCTCCTCCCTTCAGAGAAAGGCACCTCCCTCTTTGAAGACCTGTTCTTTCCACTGGGATCTCACTCACAGAGATCTTTTTGCCAGAGTGTCTTGGCTTTCCATGCCTGAAATACTCTCATGGGCTTTTCAGCCAGACATTTGGATGAATTTTTAAAAACTTTAAAATATGATTTAAAATAATTAATTTACATTTTTGTCACATATTACTACAAAAAGCAAATGTTTGAGGTGAGCAGGAAGTTTTTATTTTTAAATATTTAAAAATACTCTATGTAAATACAGAATAGCATTCTGATAAGTTTGGGAAAATATTGGCAATTTCTTTCTATGCTAAGGACACAATCAAACTCTCAGGGTGGACATCTAACACAGTTGTTGTCATACCTTGGCCCACATCTAAGAAACTGGGTTCAATTTCTGGCTCTGGTCCCTGATTAGGGCTTATTGCCATTGAAGACCCTGAAAAGCGTCCGATGAAGGTTCAAATAATTGGGCTTCTGCACCCACTTGGGAGACCTGGATTGACTTTTCATCTCCTGGCTTCAGCCCCAACCTAACCTCAGCCTCTGGAAGCAACTGGGGAGTGAACCAGCAGATGCAAGAACCTCTCTGTCTCAGCCTCCAAAAGAAATTAAAAAAATGAAAAAAGCTTTGACTGTTTGAATTTATACACCTTTAATTGGTTTTTAATGAACAAATTCTATTTTATCATTAGTTATCAAAAAATCAAAATTCCCTTAAAATTTCAAATTATTATTAATGGTAAAAGAAATATTTTATTGTTTCATTAGTAGCAGTCCAACTTGCTAAAGATTTTTATCAGGGCTAGTTTACAAATACATTTTATATAAATGAAGTGCAGTTTTAAAAAGGGGCTCTAATTTTAGTACTATTTTCTTAGTTGTCTATGTTTTAAAACTTATGAACATTTTTATCAGTTTATTTATTAAAATCAAAGTATTTTGTACCCAGAATTATTTAAAGGTATGCCTTTATTTTATTTTTTTTTTATTTATTTTTTTACAGGCAGAGTGGACAGTGAGAGAGAGAGACAGAGAGAAAGGTCTTCCTTTGCCGTTGGTTCACCCTCCAATGGCCGCCACGGCCGGCGCGCTGTGGCCGGCACACCGCGCTGATCTGAAGGCAGGAGCCAGGTGCTTCTCCTGGTCTCCCATGGGGTGCAGGGCCCAAGCACTTGGGCCATCCTCCACTGCACTCCTGGGCCACAGCAGAGAGCTGGCCTGGAAGAGGGGCAACTGGGACAGAATGCGGCGCCCCGACCGGGACTAGAACCCGGTGTGCCGGTGCCGCAAGGCGGAGGATTAGCCTAGTGAGCCGCGGCGCCGGCCTAAAGGTATGCCTTTTTTAAAGATTTATTTATTTGAAAGACAGAGTTACAGAGAGAGGGAGAGAAACAGAGTGAGAACTAGAGAGAGAGAGAGAGAAAGAGAGAGAGAGAGAGAGAGAATCTTCCATCCATACTGGTTCACTCCTCAAATGGCCACAGTGGCCAGGGTTTGGGCAGTCTGAACCAGGAGCCTATAACTCTCTCTAGTCTCCCATGCAGGTGGCAGGGACTCAATCACGTGGGCCATCTTCTGCTGCTTTCCCAGGAACATTAGCAAAAAGTTGGATCACAAATGGAGCAACTGGAACTGAACCAGTGCCAAGGTTGCAAGCTGTGGCTTAACCTGGTATGCTAAAACGCTGGCCCCCTGTATGCCTTTTTGGTATCACTAGAGTTTGGTATTTAGGTAAGCTTCTTTTTCTAAAAAGAAATTATTTGTTTTATTTATTTGTAAGTGAGGGAGGGAGAACGAGAAAGTGAGAAGGAGTGGTGGTGTGGCAGGAGAAAGAAATCTCCCATCCACTGGTTCACTCCCTAAATGTTCACACCTGAAGCTGGACCAGGCTTTGGCCAGAAGCTAGGAACACAATCCAGGTCTCTTAACGGGTGACAGAGAGCCAACTACTGGAGTCATTACCTGCTGCCTCCCAGGGAGCATATTAGCAAGAAGCTACAGTCCAAAGCAGAGCTAGGACTTGAACCCATGCATTCCCATATGGGATGTGAGCATCCTAACTGCCAGGTCAAACACCCACCTCTAGATAAACATCTAATCATGCTCAAGACTCTAATCTGAAGACAGGCTTCATGCACATTTAAAAGGAATCTATTAGCATGACACAAAATAAGAATATGAACAAAAGAGTAGTATATTTAATGTACACTTGGCCAAAAATATAGGGGATATTTCCCTTGTCTGTAATAACCAAATTAATACTGACATTAAGAAGATCATATTTTCAATCTGTATAGGTAAATTTTACCTTGAAAGATATTCTTTGTTTGGTATAACTGAGTAGATATATGAAAAAACTATATGTGGGAGAACAGAGGAAAGAAGACTGAATGGCAAAACAGAAAATGGAGAAAATGACTAGAATTAAGGGAATTCTATTTTCAAGTCATATGCATCTGATGGGAAAAAGATTGTGGTAAACAGAAAGGGGATTGTTAGTTTGGGGAACAGCAGTCATTGTCCACAAGGTTAGCTATAAATATCAGTGGCCAGGATGTGGGGATGGTATACAAGTTACACATGAGCCCATTCATTCACATTTCAACATGCAGGAAGTGAGAGGCGAATTGCTTCATCAAAACAAAAAGTCTTTAAGTATTAGAAGAATGCACTTGATTGATTGAAAAAACATTCTACCCAATTTCTGTCTGTTGAATATCTGAGAACTCGGGTCTAGAAAATGTGGGAAAGAAAAATGCATGTGTATTTGGTGATGGGGGATTGTGGAGTAACAAGAGACATGAGAAAAGGGAGCTAATTTGTGACGTTTGATTTGGCTTGGTCTGAGGCTTGCACATGGGATGTTTATAAACCTCTCTGGGGACTGATAGAGACAGTGTCTAAACCTCAGTGTGTGGGGTGGGGGTGGGGGTGGGGCAGACAGAGTGCTCAAATGAATCAGTGAATCTCTGACTGATGTAATGAATGTATACAGGGGAGATCATTTTGCCTGTAATGACCAGGTGATAGAACGCAATGAACAATGAGACTCCTGAGGCTGGCATTGTGGTGTGGTGGGTTAAGCCAGCACTTCTGACCCTTCCATCCTGTATCAGAGTGCTGGTTTGAGTTCTGGCTGCTCTCTTCTGATTCAGCTCCCAGCTAACATGCCTGGGAAAGCAGTGGGTGATGGCTCAAATGCTTGGGGCCCTGATACCATGTACAAGTCCAGGATGGAGTTTCTGGCTCCTGTTTTCAGCATGGCCCAGACTCAGCCATTGTGGTCTTTTGGGGAGTGAATCAGTGAATGGAATATTCTCTCTCTCTCTCTCTCTCTCTCTCTCTCTCTTCCTCCCTCCTTCCCTGTCATTCTGCCTTTCAAATAAATGAAGAAACAAATCTTTGAAAAGAAAAAGTTCTTTGCAGTAGAGGTGAGAGAGGTCATTGCAATGGGGCCATGGGAAGAGACACTGTCCATGTGCTGCCATTTCTAAGTTCCATGATTTGTAACATTATGCTTTCATGAATATTTAAATGCCTCAAATGATCATGACTCTGTTTTTGGGAGGGTTAATGATTTTACTCCCTTTGAGAATCAGAGTTTATTTTCACTGAGTGGTAAAGTTTCAAATGACATTGGGATTGCTGTCACTAATGAATCACTTGCTGTATTTCCAGCATGAAGTTGTGTTAGGCTGAACAGAGATTGCTAAAGCAGACTTTTGGCCCTATACCAGAATTAGAAATGAAATTCCTAAAAATAGACATGCCAGGGCACGTACTTAGGAATTTGTTTAAAAAAAAGCCTCAGAAATACCCATAAATTCTAATGTTAGAATAACAAAGTCCTTATTACAATAACAAAAATTCAGAAACTATAAAAGATAAATTAATGGGCAAGAATTTGGTGCAGTGGTTAACATGCTGCTTGGGACACCTACATGCCATATTAGAGTGCTTGGGTTCATGTCTTGGCTCTTGTCCCAATTCCTGCTTTCTGCTAATGCAAATCCTGGAAGGCAGAAGGTGATAGCCCAAGTAGTTGTGTCCCTGACACACATAGGGTTCTGAGAAGAAACGACTGAGTTCTGTCCTCCTGGCTTTGGAATGACCCCAGCCCAGCCAATGAAGGCAAGTGGGGAGTAAACCAGTAGATGGGAAATCTCTGTATCTCCTTGACTCTGTCTTTCTCTCTTTCAACTAAAATAAATAAATAAGCTTAATAAAAGGAAAATGATGTTATTGATTTTTTCAAGGTAAGAGTGAGAGATTTCTGCCCAAAAGCAATGACAAATGAAAAATATAGAGAAAAAAATCCAAGAACCAAATGAACCAAAAATATGAATAAGCAGTTCCCATTCATTTATAGATACATGAAAATATGCTCAATTTCATTCATAATAAGATCATTGTAAATTAAAAATACACTGAAATACCTTTTATCAAAATGTCAAAAATTCAAACTGATAACACACTAAGATGTAGGGAAAGATCTCTTATTCTTTATTTGTGGATATATGAATTGATGCAGTTCTGGAGAATAATATGGTCATATCAATTAGCACTGTGAAACATAGTCTTTGGCCCAGGAAATCTCACCCTAAGTTTCCTTCTGTCCTTTCAGAAAAGTTTAAATGCTTTCTCAAACATTTAATTTTCAAATTTTATTTTAAAGTGAGAGGAAGGGAGGGAGGGGAGTAGGGAGGGAGGAAGTGAGAGAGAGAGAGAGATCTTCCTTTTGGTAGCTCACTCTCAAAATGCCTACAACAGCTGTGATTGGGCCATGCAAAATCCAGGAGCCAAAACCCGCACCAGGGTCTACCATGTGTGGCAGGGACTCGTACCTGGGCCATCAGCTGCTGCCTCCAGGGGTGCGCATTCGCAGGAATCTGGATTGGAAACAGTGGTGGGACTTGATTGCTCCAGGGCATTCCAATATGGGAGGGGGTGTCCCAAACAGGGGTTTTAATCTCCCACACCACAGGACCTCCTCTGGCATATTTTGAGATTTTGTAATATGGCTGGGTGTAAATTTTTACTTATTGTTCCTGTGTCTCTTCAAGGCCTTTCAACAGTCTTTCTTCCTTCTTTAATTCAGCAAAATTTGTCTTCATTATTTCATTGAACATTTCTTTGTTGCCTTATGTTTTTCACTCTTGCTTCTATTATCGCAGTTTTGGCATTTCCACTTTTTTACTATCTACTTCCTAACTTTATTTTACTGTATTATTTTTTAAAAAATATTTTCTACTGAATTGGCTTAGTTTAAAAGCTTTTATTTAACAAATCTTACTGGTTTTGTGTCTGTACCCTAACCCTCAACTCACCTTTGTTGCTCCAAAAGCTTGTCACAGATTTTAGTTAGATTTTTAGAATCATGTTGCCCACTTTTTGAGCTTTGTTTCTCTGTGTTGTTTCACCATGGTTGTTTTGGAAAGAAGGAACTGGAAACTTGGACTAGTTCAATATCTTATCAGGTTCTCAAATGATTTTTTTTTTTTTTTTTGACAGGCAGAGTTAGACAGTGAGAGAGAGAGAGACAGAAAGAAAGGTCTTCCTTTTTCCTTTGGCTCACCTCCCAAGTGGCCGCTACGGCCGGCGCCTTGCAGCTGGCACGCTGCGCCAATCCGAAGCCAGGAGCCAGGCGCTTCCTCCTGGTCTCCCATGCAGGTGCAGGGCCCAAGCACTTGGGCCATCCTCCACTGCACTCCTGGGCCGCAGCAGAGAGCTGGACTGGAAGAGGAGCAACCGGGACAGAACTGGCGCCCCAACCGGGACCAGAACCCAGGGTGCCGGCGCCGAAGGTGGAGGATTAGCCTAGTGAGCCGTGGCACCAGCCTCAAATTATTTTTAAGTACATTAAAATGTAAGACCCACTATCCTAAAGTTTAAACTAATACATGATTCATATTTTCATAGATCGTTGGATCAAGTTTCAAATTCCATCTCATTTTCTCATTGGGTAGCTTAACATAATTAACTTTTCTAAGCTTCTTTTTTCATCAAATGACTATATTTGTAAATCTGAGTCACCAATAAACAATAAGGATAAACAAGCAGTTCTATAAAGCATAAATAAGAGTAAGATTGGTTGTTATTGGAACTAAGATTGAGAAAAAAAAAACAAGATAATAGCAAACAAGTTAAATGATGATATCCACATAAGGGCATTCAGATAACTTCAAAAAGCTCATGTGCTTTTCCGGGGGAGAAGTCTCTCTCATTGAGTGTTAAAATGAGTAAAATGAATGAGTCAGTCTGTAGTGTACTGCTCATCATTCATATGGGAGCAGCCAGAGTGGAAGAAGTAAGAACATAAATAATCATATTCTGATAAGGTTCTCCCAATATCTCAAAGTGAATGCACAGGGTTACGCATGAAAAATGGGTGTGGCTAAGTGATTGAATGGATGGTGACTGTAAAAATGACTACTCAAATGTCCATTTTTAACTAGCCAGATGTAGTGACTAATGGATGTTATACAGTTTAATGTTGACAAGCCAGTGACTTAGTGTATGCCTAGAACGAAAAAACGTACTGGTAGAAAACACATCAGTAACGTCTTTTGCAGAAATGCCATGACCTGCATTGAGTGTGCAGACAGCACTTGGACCAAGGGGGATGTGCTCACCTCGGGAAAGGCTGCCGGGCTCTGTTCCCAGCTATGATCTCCTGGATAGTCACTTTCGTTTCTGAAATTGAGATCTGTTTCTCAGTCTTCAAGGCTTTCAGTTTTCTCAGCCTTCAGAAACCTGATTTTCTAAAAAAAAAAATTAGTACTTTTGGGGGCAGTGTTGTGGCATGGCTGGTAAAGCCAACGCCTGCAGGTCTGGCTTCCCTTATGGGTACCAGTTTGAGTCCCAAATGCTCCATTTCCAATCCAGCTTCGTGCTGTGGCCTGGGAAAGCAGTAGATGACCCAAGTCCTTGGACCCTTGCACCCATAAGGGAGACCTGCAAGAAACTCCTGACTCCTGGCTTTGGATGGGCCCAGCTCAAGCCATGTGGCCATCTGGAGAGTGAACCAGTGGGAGGAAGACTTTCTCTCTCTTTCTCTCTCTGTAACTCTGCCTTTCAAATAAATAAATAAATCTTTAAAAAATTAGTACTGTTGTCCACATCTTAGAGGCAGAGACATAATAAACTTCAAAACTGATATGTAAAAACTAAATACTAATTTTTAAATTCTCAAAATATTAAAGTACGTATGGTCAATATATTCTTTTCTTGCAGAAATAATTATTTATATGGAATATTGAATAATAATTAGGATAATAATAAGTAAAATATTAAATAATTTGATAATTAAAAGCAAAGGAAACTAAATACAGAATTTAATATTCAACAGGCTCAGAGTCAGGTAACCTGATGCATTTAGCTTCACAGTACAGTTTAGCTTGTCAGTAGTATCAGAATGCCTGGAGACCGTTAGCCTTGGCCACCTCCATTGGGCAATGATTGTATAAACACTGTCCATGTTCAGCTCAGTGCCTCTCTGACTCTGCTTCTGGTGGGTGGAAAGAAAGCCTCAAGGGCAGATATGGTTCAGAGCAAGTTTCTGATGAATGCAATGGTAACACTTCAAGGGAGAGCAGAAAGAGGCCAAGATCATACCAAAATGCACACATTTAAAAGAAATGGGATCTGGTGTTCTACAGAACAATAGAGTGGTTATAGTCTGTAATAAAGGAAATAGAAGGGTTATTAGACTAATATGATTGGCTTCTGTTGGTTATATCTTGAAATTTCACAATATACTTCATGAAAAGTACACGTATTTCATGTTCATCCAAATTTAAAAAAAAAATTATAAGTTAAGTAATTTTTAAAGTGATGTAACTCCAGAGGACAGGGAAGAAAAGATGTGTTTATTTGAAAGGCAGAGTTACGGAGAGAGGAGAGACAGAGATCTTCCATCTGCTGGGGCTCAGAAGACTGCAACTCCATCCAGATATCCCACGTGGGCGGCAAGGACTCGAGCATTTGGGTTATCCTCAGCTGCATTAGCAGGTGGCTGGATTGGAAGTGGAGCAGCAAGGACTCAAACCGGCACCCATTTGGGATGCTGGCGTTGCAGGAGGTGGCTTTAACCCACTGTGTCACAATGCCAGCTCCAATATTTTTGAGTAACATACAGTACATGTACATTTTTATGTAGCACAGTGCAATATTTCAACACACGCATACAGATCACACACACAGCATAAACCAATCAAACCAGGCAACTAATCTTTCATCTCTTTATCTTTTCTTTGTGTTTCAAATTTCCTAGCTCCTGTCTTCCAGGTTTTTGTACCTGCTTTGGGATCTAAATAACTCAGTATAAGCTTAGTGGAGAAACAAACCTCTTTCTACAGAAAAACATTTTATCTGGGTATTCTATAATTAGAGAAAAGTCTGCAGGTAGTATTAGACAGACTCAGTGTGATTCATTTGTTTATTTGGTGAGCAAAGGGGGTGAGTTGTCTCCCACTGTCGCCTTTTCCTCTTTTTATAAGAATATTGCTAAGAAGGCGCAGCCACGACCTGCTGCCTCAGAAATTGGCTCAGTGGACTGACGTCATGGGAATTTGCTGAGCCTGTTTTGTGGAGGTCATCTAATTCTCAGCAGAAAGTTTCTGGGCAGGAAACCTTCTATATTTCTTTGATAATGAACCAAAAATCACCAGCCCAAAGAACTAAAACTGCATTTCATTAGCACAGCTTTCCCAGAAAATAGGCTGTTGCCAGACAGCCGCTAGTATTGCTTTTATATTTCTAAGCTGGCTCATCTAACCTCTAAGAAGCCCTGTCTCGGATGTGTTGTTATCTAAAGCACACAGCCCTTAACTCTGCAGTCTCAAACCATTTTCAAATTCTTTCCAAGTGAAATGTTGCTGATTCTATATCAGTTGTACATCACTTCCAAAGCCCTGACAGATGAAATAGAATTGCCAATCCTATGACATTCAAAAATGTAACATAGGTACAATCAAAAAAATTCTTTGTTAGTCATGGACTTAGAATATAATTAGTATTATATTATTATTAAAATTGTTATTGCTGTAATTTGTTGTATATTTTGATTAAAAAGAAATCTTCAAAAAAGTTCTTGGAAAATGCACATTATCTTTTAATTTATTTTCCCATAAGCACTTAGAATGAAAACTCAGAATATTCCCTATAACAAAATGGATTCTAACAACTCTAATATATTTTTTCTATTAATATGTACTAGTCCATAATTTTTTTTAAAGTTCTTTCTTTACTTATTTGAAAAGGAAAGAGAGAGGAAGCAATCTCTCACACATTGATTCATTCCCATAATAACTAAAACTGAGCAAAGTCAAGCCAGGCGTTAAGAATTCAGTCTTAGTCTCCCAGGTGAATGATGGAGACCTAACTACTTGAGCCATCACCTGCTGCCTCACAAGGTGTGAATCGGCAGGCAGGAGCAGAGCCATAACAAGAACTCAGGGCACTTTGATCTGGAATGCAAGCACCCCACCTGGCATCTTAACCACTAAGCCAAATGCCCTCCAGAATACTTTAATGCTTTACATGTATTATCTCACTTAATCCTGACTTTTGTAAATAAGGAAATTGAAGAACACAGAGGTTAGTTAGGTCATTTACCTAGATGACAAGTGGCAAAGCTTTCAAACCCAGACAACCTCAGGCAGATTCTGCACTCTTACTCTCTGTTATGAAGGAGGTATACCACAGACTATGCTTCAGAGTATTTTATAATGGGTGTCAAAAGTTATTCCTGGAAAGACATAAATGACACTGCTGAGATCAACATTCAAGCATAATTTATTTCAATGTTTTTTATTATTAAAATCTTTTGAGCTAATTACATATTTGTACAATACTTACAAGTCTGGCAAAAAGAGCTTTTTACTTTTCCCTGGAGTCACCTGATTGAGACCTGATATCCTATTGTCCCCAAATAGTTTAGTGTCTATTTTCTCGGTTCTCCTATACATATACAATATAGCTATAGGAGTAAAGCAGCCCAGTTGTATACAGAAATACATGACTATGATATTCCACAGACTCCATTCAAATTTTGCTAATAGTCTGAATAAGAACAGCAAAAAATAATATATTGAATATAGTCTTTTTTTAATATTTTTAACGTTTTTTTGCTTCAAGGGTTTTGGTATTAAAAACTGGATTTATAAAATAACTCTGGTTGCTGATCCTTTCTGGTCTTTTAGGTTTTAAATTTAACAAAAGGATTATTTGAGCCTTGAAAAGTTCATAAAATTCGGCTGTAACATCAACTTTGTGTCTTTTGGAAGAAATTTTATTTTCCACAAAATGCTCATTTTCAACTTTTTTTCTTATTATTTTACTTTTCAAAGTTTATTTATTGATGAGAGAGAGAAAGAGACAGAGAGAGAGAGAGAGTTTCCATCTGCTGGTTCACTTCCCAAATGGCTGCAACAGCCAGGTGTGGGCCAGGACAAAGCCAGGAGCCAAGAACTCTGTCTTGATCCCCACAGGGGTGGCAAAGGCCCACGTCCTTGGGCTGTCATATGCTGCCTTTCCAGGCGCACCAGCAGTATGCTGGGTTGGAAGCAGAGCATCCAGGACTTGACCTGGCACTCCCATATGGGATGCTGGCGTCACAAGCAGCAACTTAACCTGCTGCACCAAATCACCAGCCCCAAGTTCATGTTTCTTTCCTCTCTCTCATTCTATTTCATTGATTTCTGTATTTTTATTACTTCTTTCCTTATACCTTATCTGCTTTTTTTCCCTTTTTTCAGCTTTCTTATATTTATTTTACTTCAATCATTCTAGGTTTTAAAAACAATGACTTCAACAGCCCTTGTCTTGACCTTTGAGGAACAGTTTTGTTTTTCTTTTTTTTTTTAAAGATTTGTTTATTTATTTGAAAGAGTTACACAGAGAGAGGAGAGGCAGAGAGAGAGAAAGACAGAGAGAGAGAGAGAGAGAGAGAGAGAGAGAGGTCCTCCATCTGCTGGCTCACTCCCTAATTGGCCGCAACAGCCGGAGCTGAGCTGATCCAAAGCAAGGAGCCAAGAGCTTCTTCCAGGCCTTCCCATGCTGGTGCATGGGCCAATGAACTTGGACCATCTTCCACTGCTTTCCTAGGCCACAGCAGAGAGCTGGATTGGACGTAGAACAGCCAGGTCTCGACCGGTGCCCATATGGGATGCCAGCGCTTCAGGCCAGGGCATTAAAACGCTGCCCCACAGCGCCAGCCCCTGTTTTGTTTTTCTTAATGGAGAATGGGACTAGGAATGATGAAGGAGGAGGAAGTGGGGTAGGAGTGGGAGTGGGAGGGTAGATATGATGGAAAGAATCACTATATTCCCAAAGTTGTACTTATGAAATTTGTACTCATTAAATAAACAGTTTCTTTGGGAAAAAAGCAAATTATTAGTATTATGCACCTCAGTTTACCTGTATATACCATTAGTTGAATCTTCTCTATTTTTATATGTCTGTTTCACTGTCATTCACTTTGAAATATTTTATACTTTTCATTGGGATTGGTATCCTGTTACTTGGGAATGCACTTATGTAATGCCAGGCATATTTGTTTTAACCTAACCGAATAAATTCCAAATTCTCATTTCTTTGAATATTTCAATGACATAACATTTATTTCAAAGTTAACATGAGTGGTATATTTATTACTCAATTTAAGCTTTTATAGGCGTCCTCTCTATATGCAGGATGATAGGATATAATTAGAGTAATGATATTTCTACTTTGGACTTTAATTCATTTGAGTTTTGATAAACAGCATTTATACATAATATTGTTCCTTTTTACTTTATTGATAAGGGTCGGAATTCAGCAGAGAAGTCAAGCTGCTGTTTGAGACATTTGCATCCAATAGTAAAGTCCTATTGCCATTTCTTTTTTTGTATTAATAACATTTTAATTTTTTTAATTTTTTATAGAAAGCTTTTATTTAATAAATTTCATAAGTACAACTTTTGGATTATAGCTGTTCTTCCCCCCATACCCACCGTCCCACCCCCAAACCATCCCACTTCCTACTCCCTCTCCCATCCCATTCTTCATTAGGATTTATTTTAATTATCTTTATATACAGAAGATCAACTCTATGCTAAGTAAAGATTTTAACACCCACACAGACATGCAAAGTATAAGGTATTGTTTAAAGATTAGTTTTACCATTAATTCTCATAGCACAACACATTAAGGACAGAGGTCCAACACGGGGAGCAAGTGCACAGTGACTCCTGTTGTTGATTTAACAATTGACACTCTTATATATGACGTTAGTAATCACCTGAGGCTCTTGTCATGAGCTGCCAAGGCTTAGGAAGCCTCTTGGGTTCACAAATGCTGACATTATTTAGACAAGGCCATAGTCAAAGTGGAAGTTCTCTCCTCCTTTCAGAGAAAGGTACCTCCTTCACTGATGGCCCCTTCTATCCACTGGGATCTCACTCATAGAGATCTTTCATTTAGGTCATTTTTTTTGCCATCGTGTTTTGGCTTTCCATGGGTGAACTGTTCTCATGGGCTTTTTAGCCAGATCCAAATTCTGATCCAGCTTCCTCCTCATGTGCACCATGGGAGACATAAGGTGATGACTTGAAGAATGAATCAGCAGATGAAAGATCTCTATCTGTTGGTCTTCCATTCAAATAAATAAATAAAAAATTTTAAGATCGTTGAGAATCAATGATCTAGATGTGCTGTTTTTGTACCACTTCTGTTTTTGTACGCACATGAGAATATGTTTCCTGATGTGATACGTTGGGTTTTGTGTGTGTGTATGTGTGTGTGTGTAACATGTGTGGATTGTTCATGATAATTCTGGTGTTCAAATCTTCACAATCTTTGCTATTTTTTCCCAATATAGTCTTGTTAAAATTACCATCATTTTGGTATTTGGCAATTGATTCTTTTTTTTTTTTTTTTTTGACAGGCAGAGTGGACAGTGAGAGAGAGAGAGACAGAGATAAAGGTCTTCCTTTTCCATTGGTTCACCACCCAATGGCCGCTGTGGCCAGCACACCGCACTGATCCGAAGCCAGGAGCCAGGTGCTCCTCCTGATCTCCCATGCGGGTGCAGGGCCCAAGCACTTGGGCCATCCTCCACTGCACTCCCAGGCCACAGCAGAGAGCTGGACAGGAAGAAAAGTGACCGGAACAGAATCCGGCGCCCTGACCGGGACTAGAACCCAGTGTGCTGGCGCTGCAGGCAGAGGATTAACCTATTGAGCCATGGCGCCGGCCTGGCAATTGATTCTTGTGAGTCTGCTAGTTTTTGTTTAGTAGCTTTCATATTTAGCTTTGATTTTTTTAAAAAAAGTGTTTCTCTCATACCAGGGGATTCCAATTCAATCCCATCAAGGTGGCATATACCAATGCCATCTCACTATTCCAAGTGATCAATTTCAGTTCACAATTGATCATAATGAAAGGACTAAGAGTCAAAGGGAGCACATAAACAAGTCTAGTACCTGCTAACACTAACTGATAGAATAAATAAGGGGGAGAGTGATCCAACATGGGAAGTGAGATACTCAGCAGACTCATAGAATGGCAGATGTCCTAAATAGCACTCTGGCCTCAGAATCAGCCCTAAAGGCACTCGGATCTGGCTGAAAAGCCCATGAGAGTATTTCAGGCATGGAAAGCCAAGACACTCTGGCAAAAGATCTCTGTGAGTGAGATCCCAGTGGAAAAAACAGGTCTTCAAAGAAGGAGGTACCTTTCTCTGAAGGGAGGAGAGAACCTCCACTTTGACTATGACCTTGTCTAAACAAGATAAGAATCGGAGAACTCAGAGGGCTTCCATAGCCTTGGAAACTCATGACTGGAGCATAGGGAGATTACTGATGCCATAGACAGGAGTGTCAATTGGTAAAGTCAACAACAGGAGTCACTGTGCACTTACTCCTTATGTAGGATCACTGTCCTTAATGTGCTGTGCATTGAGATTTAATGCTATAACGAGTACTCAAACAATATATTTCACTTTGTGTTTCTATGGGGGTGCAAACTGTTGAAATCTTTACTTAATGTATACTAAACTGATCCTCTGTAAAAAAAAAAAAAAAATTATCAACTCCCAACTTGACTCTCACTGGGATTAAACATGACAATAGGTCTGATCTGATTTCATCATCATTTAAAAAAAATCATCTATTATTTTTCACTTTATGTTTCTGTGTGGGAGCAAACTGCTGAAATCCTTACTTAATGTATACTAAGCTGATCTTCTGTATATTAAGATAATCGAAAATGAATCTTGATGTGAATGGAAGGGGAGAGGGAGTGGGAAAGGGGAGGGTAGTGGGTGGGAGGGACGGTATGGGGGGGAAGCCATTGTAATCCATAAGTCGTACTTTGGAAATTTATATTCATTAAATAAAAGTTAAAAAAAAAAAGAAATAAACCAAGCATGGAAAGAAAAAAAAATAAATAAAAATAAAAATAAAAAAAGTGTTTCTCATTATGCCTACTAAAATGCATATTTAATTTCTGTTTTGGGTGATATACTTCATTTGATTGGCATTTGATTGATGTAGTTTTCTTTAATTTTTATTTTAACCTTTGTATGTGGTTTTAGTATCTCTCTTGCACAGAGATAGGGGAATTATTTTTCTTTTAGTTTGTTTATCTATCCTTTAAGGGGTGACTTTAATATGTGCATGCGCAGATACACTGTACTGTGATTACTAATATAGTTTTATTTATAATTTTATTTGTTGTTTTCATGTTACCACCTATTTTTATAACCCTTTGTCTCCCTCATTCCCTTCCTTCATTCTGTATCTCACATCTTTTCTTCCACTGATTTGAAGGCTATCAATTTTATGTTACACTTAAGTTGATAATAAATGGCATATTTTTATAACAAAGTTAATAGTTGATAGTGTTATTCTCCTCTTGACAAGAACAACACAGTAGTCACTGAAAAATTTCAACAGCTTCTTTTAATCTAGGTTTTTGTTCATTAACACTTAAAATTGGCTGCCACATTTTGTAGCTTTTTTCAAATCCAGTAATTTTCAGGACACTTCAATTATAACAATGAGCTCTGGGACATCAAATCTTATTCATTGCATTAAAGCTATATCTCTCATAGAGGATAGAATTATTTCATTAAATTAAATCTCTATCTTTTCAGAAGATATCCAAAGATTCCCATTCTGACAAGACTGTGTTGATTGTCATCAAAAGAAATGTCTCAGTGTGAGGATTACAGTACTGTTGGCCGGTTTGGTAGAAATAAAACTTACACAGTTTGTTCATAAAACTAAGACACTAAGGAATGTTACTTATCAACTTACCTGTGATTAATTGGTATGTTGTATTTCATTTTTTTTTGCCACAGGGTCTTTTATTACCCCCACCATATGGTTAGAAAATTCTTATACAAATATTTCCTGTTGCTTTACAGAATATTTGTCATATTTGAATTTTCTAGAGTTATAGATCATATTATTTTGCATTGGAATAACCTACCAGGGATTTACTCTTGCAAATCAAGTTCAATATCTGCAATAGAGTGAAGATAGTCTTCTCAACAAATGGTGCTGAAACAAGAGAACATCCTACATACAACATAATGACTCTAGGTACAAACCTTACATGTTGCACTGAAATTAACTCAAAATAGACCACAGAATTATGTCTGAAGCATAAAACTATAAAAAAAACCTAGAAGACAGCAGATGAGAAAAATATAAATGACTTAGGATTTGGCTATGACTTTTTTTACAAGATAGAACATGAAAGGCAAGAACTGTGCAAGAAAGAATTGATAAGTTAATTTGAAATTATAATTTTCTACTCTGAGAAAGAAATTGTGAAGAGAATAAAAGGAGAAGCCACTGACAGGGAGAAAATATTTGCAAAAGACATACCTGATAAAGGACTATTATCCAAAACATGCAGACACACACACACACACACACAAGCTTAAAACTCAACATAAATAAAAAGAAACCTAAGAAATAGGAGGCAGGTATTTGACACAGAGGTTAAGGCTTTGCTTGGGACACTTGAATCTCATACTGGCATACCAAGGTTTGAGTGCTAGGTCAGCTTCTGAGTCCATCTTGATGCTAATGTAATGCATAATATGAGAGGCAGGAAGTGATCATTCAAGTGGTTGGGTCTCTGCCACACACATGGGAGAGTCAGGTTGAATTCTAAGCTCCTGACTTTGGTCTTGCCTAAGCCCAGGTGTTGTGGACATTTGAGGAGTGAACCTGTAGATGAAAAAGCCCTCTCTTCCTGCCTTCATTCTTAATCTTTCTCTTCCTCTTCACATCTGCCTTTTAAATTAAATGAATTTTTAAAAAAACTTAATGGGTCAATTACCTTAATAGACACAGTGTCAAAATTATGTACAGATGGCCGAAAAGCATATTGGAAAGATCCTCCGTAGCATGTGTAATTGGAGAACCATAAATTAAAACAATGAGGAGACACAACTACATACCTATGAGATTAACCACAATCCAGGAAACTGACAAGACTAGATACTAATCAAGATTTAGAGTAAGAGAAACTATCATTCATTGTCAAGTAGAATGGAAAATGGTATAGCCACTTTGGAAGACAATTTGTCAGTGTTTCAAAAAGCTAAATCTACTCCTACCATTTGACCCATGATAGTAGTCCATGATATTTACCCAGAAAAGTTGAAAACACATCAACACTAAAGCTTACATATTGCTGTTTAAATCAACTTTATTCATAATTGCTAAAATTTGGAAGCTATTCAGTTTTACTTTGTCTGATAGTAAGATGGTTACACCTGCTCATTTTTGCTTTCCATTAGCGTTTAATATCTTTTTCTATCCTTTCACTTTCAGTCTGTGTCTGTCTTTGTTGACGGAGTGTGTTCCTTGTAGGCAGCAAATAAATGATATTGGTTTTTAATCCATTCATCCAGTCTATATCATTTTTTTTTTTTGGACAGGCAGAGTGGACAGCGAGAGAGAGAGACAGAGAGAAAGGTCTTCCTTTGCCGTTGGTTTACCCTCCAATGGCCACCGCGGCCGGCGGGACAGAATCTGGTGCCCCAACCGGGACTAGAACCCGGTGTGCCGGCGCCGCAAGGTGGAGGCTTAGCCTATTGAGCCACAGCGCCAGCCCCCAGTCTGTCTCATTTAACTGGAGAGTTGAGGCCATTTATATTCAAGGTTACCATTAATAAATAATGACTTGGCCCTGCTATTTTTCCATAAATATTTCCATATTTTACTTTTAATTTCCTTTGTGCTTTTACTGAGAAATTTTCTGCTTTCACATTTTTTCATAATGATGACTATCTTTCTGTATTTCTGTGTGTGGCACATCCTTAAGCATCTTTGTAAGGCTGAACAAGTTGTGACAAATTCTTTCAATTTCTGTTTCTTTTTTTTTTATTTTTTTATTTATTTTTTTTATTTTTGACAGGCAGAGTGGACAGTGAGAGAGAGAGACAGAGAGAAAGGTCTTCCTTTGCCGTTGGTTCACCCTCCAATGGCCGCCGCGGCCGGCGCGCTGCGGCCGGCGCACCGCGCTGATCCGATGGCAGGAGCCAGGAGCCAGGTGCTTTTCCTGGTCTCCCATGGGGTGCAGGGCCCAAGCACCTGGGCCATCCTCCACTGCACTCCCTGGCCACAGCAGAGGGCTGGCCTGGAAGAAGGGCAACCGGGACAGAATCCGGCGCCCCGACCGGGACTAGAACCCGGTGTGCCGGCGCCGCTAGGCGGAGGATTAGCCTAGTGAGCCGCGGCGCCAGCCCAATTTCTGTTTCTTATGGAAGGTCTTTATTTCACCTTCATTCACAAATGAGAGCTTTGCAGAGTATTCTGAGTTGACAGATTTATTTTCTCTTAATATTTGGAATATGTTTCACCATTCTCTATTAGCCTGTAGAGTCTCTGATAAGCCAGGTGTGAGCCTATTTGGAGATCCTCTGAAAGAAATCTGGTCTTTCTGTCATTCATATTTTAGAATCCTTTCTTTATGTTTTACCATTGAAAGTTTGACTACAATGCATTGGGATGAAGATCTTTTGGTTATGCCTGTTAGGAGTTCTTTGTGCCTCCTGTACTTGGACATTCCTTTCTTTCTCCAAACTGGGGGAGTGTTTGTAATTATTTCACTAAATAGGCCTTCTAGTCGATTCTCTGTTTCCACATCTTCAGGGAATCCTATTACCTGTATATTGGGTCATTTAATAGTATCCCATAAATCTCCAATGATGTTTTGACTTGTTCTAATTTCTTCTTCTTACTTTCTTACTGTAATATTTCAAGAGTTGTCGTCTTTCTTGGTTATTCATCTGCCTTAAAAATCTTTTGTTAAGTCTTTCCACTGATTTTTAATTCAATCTATTGAATTCTTCATTTCTAATATTTCATTTTGATTTCTCTTCAAGATGTCTATTTCATAAGAAAAGTTTCCATTCATGTCCTGTATGGATTTCTATAATTTCTGATTTTCTTCTCATTGCTTCTGAGTAACCCTATGATTACTCTTTTGAATTCCATTTCAGGCATTTCAACAATCTCTTCATCATCACAGTTTTTTAAAGATTTGTTTATTTATTTGAGAGGTAGAGTTACAGACAGTGAGAGGGAGAGACAGAGAGACAGGTCTTCCATCTGTTGATTCACTCCCCAAATGGCCACAACAGCTGGATATGTGCTGATCTGAAGCTAGGAGCCAGAAGCTTCTTCTGGGCCTTCCACACTGGTGCAGGGGCCCAAGGACTTGGGCCATATTCTACTGCTTTCCCAGGCCATAGCTAAGAGCTGGATGGGAAGAGGAGCAGTCAGCACTAGAACCAGCACCCATATGGGATGCTGGCACCTCAGGTGGAGGATTAACCTACTGCGCCACCGCATCGGCCCCCATCATCACATTCTAATTTAAAGCACTGTTGTATTCCTTTTGGGAGGCCATTTTGTCTTCCTTAATCTAGTTTCTTGAATTTTTTGCATTTATTTTTAGGCATTTGTGGAGATATTTTTAGTTTACTCCTTTAGTAGCTTATATCTTTGAACTATTCCTCTGTGGCTTACAAGAATGTCTGCTCTTCAGTGAATACTCAGAAGTGCATGTTGGGTGTGACCATGGAGCTCTGTTCAGTGCTCCAGGGTAAGGTGAGGATCCAGGGTGACACCCAAGTTGGGTGTGTTAGATCTCTTCTTTTTTATAAAAGGGTGGGTTATGGTCACCTCTGTTGGTGTTGTCACACCATCACCTCCTCTATGAAGTCAGCATGACCTTAATTCCTAAACCAGAAAAAGATACAACAGAGAAAGAGAACTGCGGATCAATTGATATTTCTTATGAGAATTGATGCAAAAGTCCTCAACAAAATACTAGCTAATTGAATCCAAAAACACACCAGAAAGATAATTCACCTGAACCAATAAATTCAGTGGGATTTATCCCTGGTATGCAGGGATGGCTTGACATTCAGAAATCAATAAATGTGATATACCACATTAACAAACTGAAGATCAAAAACTCCATGAATATCTCCATAGACACAGAAGAGGCATTTGATAAGATATAACATTCTTTCATGATGAAAACCTTAAGCAAATTGATTATAAAAGGAACATTCTTCAGGAGAATCAAGGAAATTTCTGACAAACCAACAGCCAGAATCTTACTGAAAGAGAAAATGTGGCAACATTCACACTAAGATCCGGAACTAGACAGGGATGCCACTCTAACCATTGCTATTCAGTATAGTCCTGGAACATCTATCCAGAGCCATTAGGCAAGAAAAAAAAGAAATCAAAGGGATACTAATTGAAAAGGAAAAAGTCAAACTATTCCTATTTGCAGATGATGTGATTCTATATATACATAGGAGACCCAAAATACTCATAAATGATCCAAGAGACTCATGAAAGAGTTTGGTGAAGTTGTAGGATATGAAATTAACACAAAAAGTCAGGAAGTTTTGTATACACAGACAATGCCATGGCTGAGAAAGAACTTGCAAGATCAACCCATTCTTAACTGATGCAAAAACAATTAAATACCTTGGAATAAATTTAACCAAGAACACCAAAGGTTTCTACAACGAAAATTACAAAACACTAAGGAAAGAAATAGAAGACAAAAAAAATAATGGAAAAATCTTCTATGATCCTGGATTGGAAGAATCAATATCATCAAAATGTCCATACTATCAAAAGCAATTTACAGATTCAATTTGATCCCAATCAAAACACCAAAGATATTCTTCTCAGCTCTATTAAAAATGTTGTTAAAGTTCATATGGAAACACAAGAGACCCTGAATAGCAAAAAAAATCTTATACAACAAAAACAAAGCCAGAAGCATCACAATACCTGATTTTAAGACATACTACAGGACAGGTATAATCAAAATAGCTTGGAACTGGCATGAAAACAGACTTATACACCAACAGAGCAGAATGGAAACTCCAGAAATCCATCCACACACCTATAACCAACTTATTTTGACAAAGAAGCTAAAATCAATCCATGGAGAAAGGACAGTTTCTTCAACAAATTGTGCTGGAAAAACTGGATCTCCATGTGCAGAAGTATGAGACAAGACCCTTACCTTACTCCTTACACAAAAATCCACTCAAAATGGATCAAAGACCTAAATCTTTTTTTTTTTTGACAGGCAGAGTGGACAGTGAGAGAGAGAGACACAGAGAGAAAGGTCTTCCTTTACCATTGGTTCACCCTCCAATGGCCACTACAGCTGGCGCACAGCACTGATCCAAAGTCAGGAGCCAGGTGTTTCTCCTGGTCTCCCATGTGGGTGCAGGCCCCAAACTCTTGCACTTCCACTGCACTTCTGGGCCACAGCAGACAGCTGGACTGGAAGAGGGGCAACCAGGACAGAATCCGGCGCCCTGACTGGGACTAGAACCCCGGGTGCTGGCGCTGCAAGGTGGATTAGCCTATTGAGCCACGGCGCTGGCTCAAAGACCTAAATCTACAACCTGATACCATCAACTTACTAGAGAACATAGGGGAAATTCTTCAAGACATTGGCATAGGCAAAAAAAATCTTGGAAAAGATCCTAGAAGCACAGACAATCAAAGCCAAAATTGACAAATGGGATTACATCAAGCTGAGATGCTTCTGCACTGCAAAAGAAACACTGAACAAAGTGAAGAGGTAACCACCAGAATGGTAGAAAATATTCACAAACTATGCAACTGAGAAAAGATTAATATCCAGAATCTATAAAGAGCTCAAGAAACTCAACAACAACAAAACAATTCAGTTAAGAAATAGGCAAATGACTTGAATAGGCGTTTTTCAAAAGAGAAACTTCAACTGGCCAATGGACATATGAAAAAATGCTCAGGATTATTAGCCATCAGGGAAGTGCTGATCAAAATCAAATATGAGGTTTCGCCTCACACCAGTTATAATTGCTCTCATTCAGAAATCAATAAACAACAAATGCTGGTGAGGATGTGGAGAAAAAAGGTACCCTAATTTGCTATTGGTGGAAATGTAAACTGATGCAGCGACTACGGAAGATGGTATGGAGATACCTCAGAAATCTGAACATAAACCTACCATATGATCCATCTATTCCACTCTTGGGAATTAACCCAAATAAAAAAAGCAGCATATGATAGAGTGATCTTACCCACAGATTAATTGCAGCTCAATTCACAAGAGCTAAGATATGGAATCAACCAAAATGTCTATCAGTTGAAGACTGGATTAAGAAATTACAATATATATACACTGTGGAATATTACACAAGTGGTTAAAAAATGAAATTCTGTCTTTTTCAACAAAATATATGCAACTGGAAACCATTATACTTAGAGAAATTAGCCAGTACCCAATAGACAAATACCATATGCTCTCCCTGATCTGTGGTAACTAATTGAGTACCCAAAAGGTAATCTATAGGAATGGAATTGATACTTTGAGATGTGATGTTTTTTTTTTTTTGACAGGCAGAGTGGACAGTGAGAGAAAGATATAGAAAGGTCTTCCTTTTTCCGTTGGTTCACCACCCCCCACAATGGCCGCTGCAGCTGGCAAGCTGCGGTCGGTGCACCGCGCTGATCTGAAGCCAGGAGCCAGGTGCTTCTCCTGGTCTCCCATGCGGGTGCAGAGCCCAAGCACTTGGGCCATCCTCCACTGCACTCTGGGCCACAGCAGAGAGCTGGCCTGGAAGAGGGGCAACCGGGACAGAATCCGGCGCCCCGACTGGGATGCAATGATTTTTGATAGCCTTTGTCTCTGCTGTTGAAGAACAGTTTTTTTTTTTTTTCTTCATGCTATTTGTTGAACTCTTTACTTGGTGTAGTGTTAATCATTAGTATAAAGTTAACTTAAAACCGGTCTTTGTAAAAAATGAGAATGGCAATATGAGATGGAGGAGGAAGAAGGATGTGAATGTTGGTTGGAAGAATAAAGTGGAAACTATTGCTATATTCCTGAATCTGTACATATGAAATTTGTGTAACTTAAATAAAATTTTAAAAAATTTAAAAATGCTGTATACCACATCAGAATAACTGGGTTCAATTCCAGGCTCTGGCTTATGACTCTAGCTTCTTTCAGATGCAGACCCTGGGAGGCAGTAGGGATGGCTCAAGTAAGTGGGTTCTTGCGTCCCGTGTGGGATACCTGGATTGCATTCCTGGCTCCTGGCTCCAGCCCCATCCTAGCCTGGCTATTGCAGGCATTTTGGAAATCAACTATCAGAATAAAAATCTCACTGTCTGCATCTCTCTTTGTCTCTCTGCCTGTCAAGTAATAATGAAAAAGTATATAAGAGTAAGATAAAGTAGGTTAAAAATATGTGTTTAAGACCTCAGAACTGTGTACCCCTCCTAATATAGTACTATGACAGGTTGGCATTTTATAGTTTGATATTTGTAGCAGGAACACCAGCTAAGTTGTTATAACAGAGGTTCCCAAATAAATGAACTCAAATAAAATGGTTTTTTGTATGTAGTATCTGTTTCTTGATGTCACTCAGGGAAAGATTGTATGCTCACTCTTGGAAGTCTCAGTATGTCACTAACTTTGCTAGAATGTAGCTATGTACTCCAGCATCCCTGTAGACCAGTAAAGAGGAACTGAAGGCCCAGCAAGAATTACTGCTGGCCGGCGCCGCAGCTCACTAGGCTAATCCTCCGCCTTGCGGCGCCGGCACACCAGGTTCTAGTCCCGGTCGGGGCGCCAGATTCTGTCCCGGTTGCCCCTCTTCCAGGCCAGCTCTCTGCTGTGGCCTGGGAGGGCAGTGGAGGATGGCCCAAGTGCTTGGGCCCTGCACCCCATGGGAGACCAGGAGAAGTACCTGGCTCCTGCCATTGGACCAGCGCGGTGCGCCAGCCGCAGCGTGTCGGCTGCGGTGGCCATTGGAGGGTGAACCAACGGCAAAGGAAGACCTTTCTCTCTCTCTCTCACTGTCCACTCTGCCTGTCAAAAAAAAAAAAAAAAAAAAAGAATCACTGCTACTCACATTGCTGTAGTGGATGTTCAGTCACAGTGGCACAGCTAAATGCAAGCAAGGCGCTCTGGCTGAGTGTCCGCATATGGATCTGGGAGTATGTAAGATTTATCAATAAAAGAAAGATGGGAAGATGGTGTAGAGGTCCAGTTGATGGTGCTTGTTATATTATTAGTACAAACTTTTGGATTTAAGGAAAAAAGCACATGTGATAAATGTGTGTGTGTGTGTGTGTGTGTGTGTGTGAATGGAGCTTGTGTATATTGATTGTAAATAAAATGGTTTGAGTTGCTAATCCTTAGTCATCATTTGACACTCTCAAGAAAATAAAAAATTATGACATTAGACTTTGAGGTAGTGTAGGAAACACAGAAATACAAAACAGAAAACAGAAAGAGAAATGATTTTGTCTCCCTTTTTCTTGATCTCTGGTGTTTGCATTTCCTCCTCCCTGCAGCTCAATGCAGAAACAAAACTGGGTCAATAAAAATGTTTCCATGGTATCAGAATTTTCTCTCTGGAAACAAGATGGCCTTGATATCACATATTTTAAATCAAATCGTGTCAGATTCAATTTTGATATGCTGGTAAAGTCACCATATGATAATTATTTTTTTCATATGTATTTATATATGTGTATTTAATCCATTTTGTGGCAAGTATCTCTCTGTATATAATCTATATATGCTTTACAGACAGTTCATTATCACTAGACCACACGGTTCTTTTTCTTTTCTTTTTTATTAGAGAACAGATCCACTTTTACCTATTTGCTTTTTACAAGTTTAAATCTTTGAGGAGCAAAACATCACTCGGATTCTGTGCTCAGAATGGCCTTCGCCGGAAGCATGCTTCGGAATTTTGCAGGAACCATGCCACTGTTTCCACGGGCACGAGTGACCTTTCTTAAGATTACTCTGGTTTTGTTAGGTTTTCTGCCAGGAGTCACTGGGATGTTCTTTGCTTTGTACACAGAAGTACATCTCTTGACCAAACATAATTTTATCTTGAACATGAACACATTCAATTTGTTCTGGAGGCCGCACTTAGAGCCAGCAAAAATGACCTTGAACCACAGACTACCAAACATATTTGCCTTTGAGAATTCCTGTTCCCAGTGGATCTCCATAGGTGTATTTTCTAGCTCCTTTCCTCTGGCTTGCTTTTTAAAAAATTTTTTTTTAATTTCGTTTTTCCCCCTTAGGAATTTCTATTTTGTCCAAGCACCTCATAAAAGTGTGTGTGTGTGTGTGTGTGTGTGTGTGAGAGAGAGAGAGAGAGAGAGAGATTTTTTCCATGGGCTGGTTCACTTCTAAAATGGCTACAATGGCCCGGACTGGGAGAGCTTGAAGTCAGTAGTTTGGAATTTCATATGGGTCTCTCATGTACATGTGGGGGCCCAAGGGCTTGGGCCATCTTTGCTGCTTTCCCAGGTCCATTAGCAGTGAGCTGGATCAGAAATGGAGCAGCCAGGACTCAAACCAGTGCCCATATCAGATTCCTGCATTGCAGATGGCTGCTTAACTCACTGTGCTACAAGGGCAGCCATGTAATAGACATTTCTGAAGCTCTGGTCTCCCAAGGCATGTTTCTAGTGCTCCTAGAATAAGTTGGCAAGTGACATTATTGTTTTTTTTCAGCTAAGATTTGCAGTGGGTAGTGGTTCTTCTGCAGACTAACATTAAAGAAATAAATCTATAGGGCTCTAGAGGTGCAGTTTCTCCTCCCTCTTAATGGCCTCACAAACTGGCTACTGAGTACCAGAGACTCTTCTAACAGCCTCCTGTCTGGAGTCAGAAAGCTCCTGTGCCACACCGGTCTAGATATGTCCAATAAATATAAGGAGGAGCGCACTCAAGGAGCCTTTTTCACTGTGTTTGCATCCAGTTACGCCTTGTCTAGGTATAGCTCTATTTGGGACCTTGATGGCTCAGGGGATCATGTGTGCCCTGGTAGACTGCCATTAGCAAGTTTTGTTCTCGGTAAGACCTACTTTTGTATTTATACAAACTGGTGGGGTGTATTTTTGAGGCCCTTTGTGTGATAATCATCAAATGGCACCAATGCCCATTAATAAAACCATCAATTTTCCTGAGGACTCGGGTCCCAGACGCTGGTATACGGTGCACGTGATCCCGGAATCACCTCCTTTGTGGCTGATGCTTTTCCATGGCATTCATGTCTTGGTGATCCACTTTAAGGCCTTCTTCCTGAGTGTTCACTGAAAATATGGAGAGAAAGTACATAAAGCGTTTATTTATTCTGTTTTTTTTTTGTTTGCCTGTTTGTTGAAGACTTTTAATAACCCAGGAATCTGAGGTAGGTTCCTAAAAGATAGACAATGAAATAATCTGATTCATAAACTATGCAATGCTCAAAATTCTGTCTTCGTTTTTTGAATTAATTCTTGAGACAAAGTTGTATAACTCTCTTTAGCTAAGAATGACCTTCCAGAGTTATCATATATCCACATCGGGCTTTCCTATAGGCCTGAAGGCAAGCCCAGCTTCCTTTAAATCCTACATTCCCCAGGGTTTCCATGTTGGGCTGAAATTAGCACACACATGAGGGGTTTTTATAATGTTCATGACAATATATTATGAAAAAATTATGCCTGGATTTAAAAAATACTACACCAAAATAAACATATTTTAATTCTATTTTTATGAATTTTTTTTCAAAGGCAGAATGAGAGGGGGAGAGAGAGAGAGAGAGAGAGAGAGAGAGAGAGAAATATCTTCAACCTGCTTGTTCACTCCCTAAATAGCTGCAACAGCCAGGACTATATCAAGCTGATGCCAGGAGCCAGAACTCCATCCTGGTCTCACGTGTGAGTGGGAAGAGCCTAAGTATTTGGGTCATCTTTTGCTGCCTTGCCAGGCACATTATCAGGAAGCTGGATCAGAAGTAAGCAGCCAGAACTCAAACCAGCACTCTGCTATGGGATGCCAATGCTACAAATAGCAGCTTAATCCACTGTGCCATAAGCTGGGTCCTCTGTGGGCCTTTTGAAGTTCTCTCATTCACCCATCCTCACTTGGAGGCTCCACTGTCACATCAAATGTAACTCATCCAAGAGTGAAGTCATTACCCACCAATGCCCTACTCATGAATTCTCTCTTTCACTGAGTTCCCTACTAAACAAAAGGTAAAATCAATTGACCCCTTCCTCTTTCCTTTCTCTGTTCAGTCACCCAGCCCCACTTAAACTCACCTCCTAAAGCTCTCTGATGCCTTTTCACAGATTTGCAGAACTCCTTTCTCCCCTTGTGTTCAGGACTGCTCTCCCTGCCTGCCTGTCTCCCAGGCTGGCAGCTTCAGCCCATTCTTTGTGGAGCAAGCTAAGTCACCTGCAGTGCAAATTCGATCACATCACTCACTTGCTTGGAGTTCTTCAGGGTACACCTTTTTTACTTAAATGAAAGCTCGCAATTGTTCACATGGCCTGTGAGATCATGCGTGGTGATGATTCTGACCTATTTTTCTACCCTCTTTTCTCTAGCTTGATCTTCTTATCTCTATTTTCATCAGTAATAGCATCACTTTCCTGTGATCTTTGATTCTTCATTCTCTTTCCTCCATAAGTAAAATTTCTCAAAAAGTCCTAAAATTGCTCTTTAAAAGCATATCTTAGAATCATTCCTTCCTTTTTATGTCCATTACATTTGCATTAGTCCACCTTCTTCACTATCTCATTTTGGTATGAGGGGCTTCTGGGCTGGCAACAAGGTCTGTTGGACCAGCACTCCATACTCCTTCCTCTATTAATAAGAATAGTCTGACTTGTTCTCTCCAAGTTCAAGATTAAGTTCTACTACTCCTTTAAACCCAAATCAACCCAGTTTATACAACCCTAACCTCTTAGTAAGTATCTGCGGGTATCAGCAGTGCATTGTAACCCCTAGGGGCAGTGTTCCTTAACTTAGAGTCCTTTTTTTTTAACTTTTATGTAATAAACATAAATTTCCAAAGTACAGTTTATGGATTACAATGGCTTTCCCCCCATGACGCCCCTCCCACTCACACCCCTCCCATCTCCCGCTCCCTCTCTCATTCCATTCACATCAAGATTCATTTTCAATTATTTTTATATACAGAAGATTGATTTAGTATATATTAAATAAAGATTTCATCAGTTTGCACCCACACAGAAACACAAAGTGAAAAATACTGTTTCAGTACTAGTTATAGCATTACTTCACATTGGACAACACATTAAGGACAGATCCCACATGAGGAGTAAGTACACAGTGACTCCTGTTGTTGACTTAACAACTTGACACTCTTGTTTATGGCATCAGTAATCACCCTAGGCTCTAGTCATGAGTTGCCAAGGCTATGGAAGCCTTTTGAGTTTGCCGACTTCGATCTTATTCAGACAGGGTCTTAGTCAAAGTGGAAGTTCTCTCCTCCCTTCAGAGAAAGGCACCTAACTTAGAGTCCTTTGACCATTAACACCTGCTGGAGAAATTGCAGGGTAAGTGCTTCAAGTATGTTTTTAAAAACGTTTATTCATTTATTTGAGAGGCAGAGCTACAGAGAGGGAGAGAGAGAGAGAGAGAGAGATCCTCCATCTGCTTCACTCCCCAGATGGCCACAAAGGCCGGAGCTGCACTGATCTGAAGCCAGAAGCCAGATGCTTCTCCAGGGTCTCCCAATGGGAGCAGGGACCCAAGGACTTGCGGCATCTTCCACTGCCCTCCTAGGCCATAGCAGAGAGCGGCATCAGAAGTGGAGCAGCTGGTATACCAGCACTGCAGGTGGCAGCTTTACCCATTATGCCAAGGCACCAGACCCGCCTCAAGTATGTTTTTATATTTATCTTTTTAAAAAAAAAATTTTGGACAGGCAGATTTAGACAGTGAGAGAGACAAAGACAGAGAGAAAGGTCTTCCTTCCGTTGGTTCACCCCCAAAATGGCCACTGTGGCCGGCGTACTGCGCTGATCCGAAGCCAGGAACCAGGTGCTTCCTCCTGATCTCCCATGCGGGTACAGGGCCCAAGCACCTGGGCCATCCTCCACTGCCTTCCCGGGCCACAGCAGAGAGCTGGACTGGAAGAGGAGCAACCGGGACAGAATCTGGTGCCCTGACCGGGACTAGAACCCGGGGTGCCCGTGCCACAGGTGGAGGATTAGCCTAGTGAGCTGTGGTGCCAGCCTCAAGTATGTTTTTAATGAGATTCCCTAGTTTTAGAGCTATAGCCTTGGGGGGATATTAGAGTGCCCTTCTCTTAGCTTCTTCCGTCTTTATTTTTCTTCTTCTATTATTCACTATTCAGATGGAAATCAGAAACAAGTCCCAAGACTACCTGTTTATAGTGGGAAAAGTAGCTAAGCATTCAAACACTTAAGCACTTCTTTGCTTCCATATGGAAGGCTTGGATTTTTTTTTTCTAAGATTCTCCCCTTTCCCAACCCTGAGTCATCTTAGATAATTTCTTTCCTTTTGGGTTATTTGTAGTTGGTTATTTATTTCTTTCCAGTGCAGTAGGCATGTTAGGCTGACTTATAGCTGTCACCTCTTGGAGGAGTACCTTGCACACACTGATGTGATATTTGGAAGTGTACTTGCTCCCAAAGAAAAATTTACTCCCAGGAACAAGCTTTGAGATGCCAGAATGTGTAGATGGAAAGAACAGGGATTGATGAGCTGCCAAGTTAGCCTATCCTAAAACTCCTCTGTCACACAATTTCTGTTTATGAGATGATATATTTTCAGTGTAACAATCCATTGTAGTTGCATTCTCTCATGATACAGCCAAAAGCATCTTATTTAATAAAAGGAGACAGCTCAATCTATTCAAGGCTGGGATAGGAAACTAGGTAGATTTAACTGGAAAAAGGAAATTAAACTCTCCTGAGAAGCTGTTCTGAGAAGACTTTGTCCAGGAAGATAAAAATTCAGATGAGTGCAGAGAAAAGCAAGATATCAAAGAAAAATCTTTCTTAAATCAGATAAGTTAGTACATGCAATTATAATGTGTTACTGCGCTTGCCAGTATAGATATTCTTATGCTTCCTACCTCCAGTCCAGCAGTTTGACTATTTTGTAAGTTTGACCTGCATGTGGCATTGTTGCTTTTTAAGGAATATCTTTTAAAATATGGATTGCGGCATATGGCTCTGAAATTGGAAATGGTTTTGGAAGTGTAAGCACAAAACTGAAGAGATGGTTCCAGAAACAAGTGGCAGAAAGTAGGGATCCCTTAATAACAGTGCTACTTTAATTTCACCTCGGATTGATTCTATAGCACTCTTCTCTCAGCTCTGAGCCTGCTCTCTGTTTCCAGGAGCTTGTTTGGAGAGCGTGGTAGAGAAAATGGTTGCCTTTTATCTGCTGTTGAATAACTATTCTCTTTCAGCTGTTGGGAGGTCCTATTGAACTGAGCAAGAACTTTGCCATGCAAGACAGAAGAAAGGACATGTCAGCTAAATCAAGTCTGCTGACATGAGAAATGACAGCTCCACGCTCAGATAAACAGACCATGCTCAGACGAATGATCTTAGGACCATGGTGTAGGGGGAAAAAACTTCACTTGTGCCATTTCTCACCTTCCCTTGACTACAGGCTAAGGAAATGAAACTTCTGAGAGTGAGGATAACTTTCTCTTCTGCAATACCCTGGAAGGAAGGCTAGGGGTAGACCATGGTGGAGAATGTGGATATACTATGTATGGACATTGTTTCTCCTTTTGCCCCAGGTCTCATTTCAGTTACTCAGTCATTCTCTCCAAAGCTGTGAAAACCTAGTTATGATCAAGTCTCCTGGACTTCTCCCCTTGGCTATAAGCGGAGATCAATTCTTTGGTGGACACTTCTCCTTGAATGGGCCTTCTGCAAGAGTCCAGATGTGTAGGTTGACCTCATCACTCCTCATAGAGTCACCACCCAAAGCTACCTATTCTTCCTGAATGTCCTTGGTGGAAGTTTTCTAATAAAAAAAACCTGGCTATCGTTGTTTCTGCTTAGTCCCTCCACTTAAATATTTATTTATTTGAAAGAGAAAGAGAGAGAAATGATCTCCCATCCTCTGATCCACTTGCCCAAGGCTAAGCAATAGCTGGGGCTGCATCAAGCTGAGGCCAGGAGCCAGGAATTCAATCCACGTATCTCATGTGTGGCAGGAACCCAACCAAGGTCTGCATAAGCAGGAAACTAGATCGGAAGCTGGAGCCAGGAATCGAACCCAGGCACTCTAATATGGAACAAAGGTGTCTTTAATTGCTAGGCCAAAGAGCTGACCCTAGCGTCTCCTTTAAAACTTTCATCAGAACTTCCCTATGTTACTTTCAAAGCATCTTCCCACTTATACTGCTGTCTAATCTCCAATGGCCAATGGTCCAGTTTATGACACCATTCTCTTTCTATTTTTTTATGTAAACAAATTTAGCTGAGTAGATAATTCTACTTATAAAAAATTACTTTTATTTCCACTTTACTTGGAAGGCACAGAAACAACCAGAAACAGAAAAACAGAGACACACAGAGAGATCTTCTGTTTGCTAGTTCTCTTCCCAAATGCTTGCAACAGCCAGGGCTGTGCCACAACAAAACAACTCCATTCTGTCTCCCACATAGGTGGGACCCAAGTCCTTGAGCCATAATAAGCTGCCTCTTAGGATGCATTAACAGAAATCTGGATTGGAAGTAGAGAAGCTGGAACTTGAACTAGCACTGCATACTAGATGTGAGCTCCCAAGCAATGCGTGAATTAAGCAACTCTGCCAAAAGCCAGCCCCAAATTGACTTTTTAACATTGTATGATTTGTTTCATTAGGGAATGACCATCAATGTCTAAAAGTATTCAAGAGACCATACCTTAAGAGAGAAATAGAAACTAAAGGGGCCAGAACTAGTGGGAGAGTAGTGATCAGGAAAGTAACAGGAATAATGGGCAAATTGAGATAGACTCCACAACACCAGGGAGAGAACTGCCATAAGAGTATAAGAGACCTCTTCAAAGAACTATACTTTCCATTGATCACTATATATTTGTCCATAATATAGTACCTATCATATAGTATGTGGTCAATAAATATTTATTGGTTTAGTTGATACATTAATCAGTAAATGATAAAGAAATTAGAAAGTCAAAACTATAAATTCTTTCAGTGAAACTGAATTCCAGTATTTTACACTTGGCTGGCATACCAGGTATCAATTTACTGCCTTTAGTCTCTGGATCCGTACCCTGTTGGAATTGTACCTGGAGGGCACCGGAGTGACACTGCAGGAGGAAAGCACTTCCTGTCCTAGATAGGGAGTGCTGACTTCTTCTGAATCACTCAGTGTGGGTGTGGCTCTAAGTAGTACTCACTCCCCAGTGAGCCTTGGCATGCCACACTCCAGTGTTTGGCTTTGCAGTGGGCTTCACAGGCATTCCAGGGAGAGACTTCTTTGGAAATCTCTCCAGCCCCACAGACGTGGGTCTTCTCTGTCAGCACCACTGGCTCTGCAGTAAGTCTTATATATGCCGCACTGGATAGTTCCCTAATGAATCTTACCACTGGGGCACCTCAGCAAACTTCTCTGCAGTCTAGAAGGCACACGCACAGCCTCTCCTGCAAGGTCTGAATGTTGTTCATGAGAAAAGCTTCTCTCCAGTTGGATCCTTCCTGGTGTTCTGCCTTTGTCCTAGAGACTAGATGCTCTCTATATCTGCTTTCCAGTCACCTTTAGAATTCTCCATCCCTCCAAGGAGTTAGTAGTCCTGTTACGTTTTCATAATTTGTGTATTTGTAAGGAGAAGAAAATTAAACAACTTTCCATGGCCTGAGCACAGTGTCCTCAGGACCTTATCAATCCTGCACTGACTGGTCAGATATATATATAAACAAGACTGAGGAGGCCAGTGGGGAATCTCTGAACAAATTCTATTGAATGCGGCTGAGCAGAAGCTTCAGGTTAACCCACCACATTCAGATCTTGCTGCGAGAGAGTTCTCCCTGCCAGCCCTGCGCTCACGGGGCATTGAGCCTCTGTTCTCCCTGAGTTGAGACTCTGCCCCTTTGAAGCCAAACCACCAGCCATTCGCTGGGACTCTGACTGCCCTTGGAGACCTGTGCCTACCAGCCCAGAGGCACCACCCCTACAGATGCTGCACAACTCCACCCTCTTTGGCGAAGACATGTTGTGGGGCACACTGGAGGTACTTTGGGAACTCTGGGTGGTTGGTTTATCCAGTGTTATACAAATTAAAATGTGTGATTTTCCTAATGCATAATACAAAAGCCTTATTAGGACCAACACCGCCTCCATGCCATTACTATGCTCTCGACAATATTAAAATTTCTCTGTCCATGTGGCTTCTTTTCCTGGTATAATTATGGAAAGAGCATCTCCCATTGGAGAAAGTCACTTCTACCCCGTGATCTTGGCTCTTATTCCCTGCTATATAGGCTCTTCCTATCACGGCAGCCACCATCCCATCAGCCTCAAGGAAACAGAGCTCCATCTTTCAAAACTAATTTCAGATTTTTCTGATGGGAGGGACAAGTGCTTGATTCTTTAGTAGTTATGGGAGAGAGATAATATAACACATAAATAAATACTTGGACCCTCACTTACAAAGTTGGAATGGAGCTGGAGTGGAGAGGTAGCCTCAAGTCAACTTTTCCATGCGTGCAGTACCTAAACACATAAAAAATGAGTATGTCATTTCAGCAAAGTAGCATTGCAATTTAAGGAGATAGGAAGCAATAATACTACTGCAAACCTTGCCGTGGGGATTAAATATAATTTAGCCAATAACAACCATGTTGTGCATTTAATTTAGGAAGTGCTTACTGGAGACCAACTTTTAAAGCTGAAATATAGAAATGGACCTTGCTATGCCCTCTGAATCATCTGTAATAATAATTAGGTCATGCTAATGAGCAAAAACTCAGGATGGTACCAAAGCAATCAGTAGTACAATGTGCACTGAATTACTTTATTAATAATCTGACAGAATTTGTTTCTCATGCAGACAAAATTCAAAAGGACCACATTTTGTGTTACACTTTCCTGATGATTTTTAAATTAAGCTTTAGAGTGTGGCACAGCTGTCAGCATCCTCATACTATCATTATCAGCAAACATTTAGTGCATACCCGCTGTGTACACAGCACTATGGGATTCATTAAGGGGAAAGAACAATAATTTCCTGCCCTTGAGGTAGTAAAGGGGTAATTATTTACTCTGAGTACTCTTGTTCATTTACCAGTGAATGGGCAGGAGACCTTGGAACTCAATGCTCTAACACTTTTTTGTTGTTTTACGATTTCATGATCATTAGAATAGCAATAGAAAATTTTCTTGGTTTGGTTTTCCTTATATTAAATTATAAAATAATGCTACATTGACATTGATCAAGCATTCAATAAAACATTATAGAATGAAAATTACAAGTATCGCTTCTAAATACTGATAGATGTTTGTTTAGTGCTTGTTAATTGATATAATACTGATTGCATGCCAGATATTTTCTAAGTAATGCTCACATGCATAAAATATAGAAGAGGAAACGGGAAATGACATGTATTTGAGTGTCTGAGCCAGAATCGAAACTAAGGAGATCTGGCACCAAAGTCCAGCCCTTAACGGCTGCTCCATAGAGATTCTGTATGCCCTCACCCTTTCCATAATAGCTTCCAGAAGTAATTACTACCAACAAGGGTCTGTGTTTTTCTTGGTCCCATTCTATGCATTAAAATTTATATATATATGTATATTTTTTTAAAAAACATAAATGGGTAAAATATTTAAAATTTGTTTTCATTAATAAAACATCTTGAATGTATTACCACATACGTGTTTGAGGCATTATGTGTTTGTGTGTCTTGTGCATATTTTTAATGCTCCATAATTCAGCAGTTTAAAATTAGTGAGCATTTTAGGCATTTTCTTTTTTTGCTGTTATATATGACGCTGCATTGAATATCCTTGTGCCTGTATCTTTGTACATAGGTGGAACTTGGAAAGAAATTTCCTAGCAGTGAACTTTTTGGGTAAAATGTTGTATATAGATATAGATATAGATATAGATATAGATTGATAGATATAGATAGATTTAACAGTGTTTTCAATGCTTACTTCTAACCCCTTAGTGCTGTCTCAGATCACATACAATATATGTGATACCATAAGAATGTATTGTTCAACATTTAGTTAAGGTTCCTAAGCATTTTGTACTCAATTAGATCTGTGTCAAATTACAAGTGACAGCCAAGGACGTCGATTTCTTTTCTTTGTTTAATGCACGTATGCACTTATTTTAAATATGTCAGGATCCTACCTATACTTAATGTTTTTTTAATGTACTTAACTTGGGACCCCTTCACAGCTATAGACTCTTTGTGAGTTTGTTTTAAGAATTCTGGAAGTCACCATTGACTTTCTTTTGTCTAAAATTTTCTCTATCCCTGAGCTTTATAAAGGGGTAGATTTTTTGACATATGCTTGTGGCTGCCATTTCAGATTGATTGTGCTTTGTAGAACAAGTGTTTTATAGGAAAGATCAATGACAATAAACAGTGAATGGTTCTTCATCATCTTCCCTTTGGATTTTAAATTCTGCTACCCTTTTTTCTTTTCCCATTCCTTCTCTGACTATATTCTGCTCTCTCAGCAAGAGATCTTACAGAGTAAAAAGATTTTAAAAGGTGAGATTTGGGTATTAATGTATCATTACTGCTAGATTCTGGTGGCTTCTGACCTGCAGCAGTTGTTGGGAGGTACAGCAACTAAAACTTGCTACTCTTTCCTCAGGCAGCCTATTGCATTATTAATGTGTGTCACCTAAAATTGTCTCACTTATATAAAACTATTTGGAAATGAATTTTAAGTCCCTGCTGTAGCTAGCATCATGCTTCAAGTTTCTAACATTCAATAATGTTTGAAGTCACTAAGAATGATGAAGAAGGAAAATTAATAGGGTTTTTGTATTATGGGAAAGAATAAGCTATGCCAAGAAGCAAGCAAATGACAAATTGCACATATAGTGCAGAGTTTTTTTGTCCTTTATTAAATTATTGTTTTTATGATAGTTATAAATAGGAAAAAGGCCAAACAACTTTCATAAGGAAAAAGAAAAGTAGAATCACTCCCAACACACATATTTCTCTGTTTCCAGAATCCTTTCATCAGCTTAAGCATTAATTTTGGTATTTTCCTCAATGTTTGTAAATAATAGGCTTAATTTGTCATTTTGTGGTATTTCAGTTATAGGCTGTGTTTATTTGTTGTTTAAAGATTTATTTTATTTATTTGAAAGGCAGAGTGACAGAGAGGGAGACATACACACACACACACACACACACACACACAGAGAGAGAGAGAGAGGGAATCTTCCATTCACTGATTCACTTCCCATATGACATATAACAGAGGCTGGGCTAGGCCAAAGCTAAGAGTCATGAGCTTTATCTAGGTCTTTCATGTGGGTGCAGTGGCCCAAGTATTGGTGCCATCTTCTGCTGTTCTCCCCAGACCCATTATCAGGGAGCTGGATCAGAAGTGGAACAGCTGGGACATTAAACAGCTCTCGTATTGAATGCCAGCATTGCAGGAGACAGCTTAATCTGCTATACCACAACACTGGCCCCAAGCTGTGCTTATTGACTTCCTATTTTGGGGAAAAACTTTTTGAGAATTTTTTTCACTATTACTTCTGGGTGACTCCCTTTTTATACTCCTATCCCTAATTTAATTTAATTTAATTTTGTATAGGGGGTTACTTTGTGTTTATATTGGTATAATTATGCAAATATAATTTATGGTATACCAATGTGACAACTACGCTAATTTCTTCTTTTCTATACAATGTTTGTTCCTTACTATTTTATTGCTGTTTGACTGGTTTTCTATATGTTTCATAGATCCTGATCATTAATTCAACCCCAGCCTGCTTGGCCTGTGTCTTCATTTCTGTATACATTTAGATGTACCAGCTGTTCTGCCAGGTCGATCTTACTGAAGAAGTCTCTTCAGACACCTTCGGACATACTCCAGTGGGACTGGTTGGCTCTGAGCTCATTACGGACCCTTGCATCCCCTGTGTTGGCTTTTCTTTCCCTTTCTTGTTTCCACATTCTTGGTTTGTCCTTTCATTTTGGTGGAGAACATCTTCTAGTAACTTCCTAAAGCAGAATGCTTGGGAAATAATTTTTTATTGTAGTATTTTCTTTTTGTTATTTCTTATTTATTTTTAAAAATATTTATTAATGCAATAAAAAAATTTAAAAAAAAATTTATTAATGCATTAGACTCCCAGGGTCACAGCAAATGCATGATAACTACTATAAGACAGTTCTCATGTTAATGTGATATTACAACAAAGAGAACAGATTCCATGTTATAGTTCATAGATACAGTCCTACAATTATAATGACCTTGCTTCCTCTCTCTTCTTTCCTCCCTCCCCTCTTTTTCCTTCCTTCTTTCTTTCCTTCCTTCCTTCCTTCCTTCCTTCCTTCCTTCCTTCCTTCCTTCCTTCTTTCTTCTCTTCTCTTCTCTTTCTTCTTTCAATTTTAATTTTTGAGGTACTGGTTTTAATTTACGTTATATTCAACTAAATGGAGAATTTTTTTTTTTTTTGACAGGCAAAGTGGACAGTGAGAGAGAGAGAGACAGAGAGAAAGGTCTTCCTTTTGCCATTGGTTCACCCTCCAATGGCCGCCACGGCCGGCGTGCTGATCCAATGGCAGGAGCCAGGTGCTTCTCCTGGTCTCCCATGGGGTGCAGGGCCCAAGCACTTGGGCCATCCTCCACTGCACTCCCTGGCCACAGCAGAGAGCTGGCCTGGAAGAGGGGCAACCGGGACAGAATCTGGCGCCCCGACCGGGACTAGAACCCGGTGTGCTGGTGCCGTAAGGCAGAGGATTAGCCTATTGAGCTGCGGCGCCGGCTAAATGGAGAATTTAACAAGTAAGATGTAAAAGGACCAACACTGCTTTCCTGAAGCATTTTATTTTGTCTTCATCCCTGGAAGATTGTTTGGAACCATGCTCTTAGCACCTTCTTTCTTCTGAGGTTGATGCTGAGAAGTCTCATGACTGTCCTTTGCCTTTTCATCACTGACCTCTTTGAAGTTCTCTGTGATTTCCACAGGTTACTGATCAGGGATGTTATAGTGTTATCAGTTAACATAACATCACAACTATATGTAAAATTTATAATCAGTAAGTTCATACATGTATATTTAATTTTAAAAGGGCCTCAATTTCTTTGAATACACCTTTTTTGGTAATCTTATTTTTTTTAATTTAAGGAATACAAAATTCATGCATTTAAAATATACAAATTTGGGAACATGGTGATTCTTACCCCCACACATACTCCCTCCTTTCTTCCTCCTCTCTATCCTTTTCCCATTCTTCTTTTTTACAAAGATCTATTTTCAGTTAATTGTATATTCATAAGGTTAACCTTACACTAAGTAGAGGGTTTACTGAATACTATGAAGACAAAAGAAAAAAGAACAAAAACAAACAAACAAGTAAAACATTGTTCCTCAACAATCAGGACAAGGGCTGTTCAAATTCATCACCTCTCAGGGTGTCAGTGTTACAGTGTTACTACTCCATGATTTACATATCTGCCATTGGGCAGGAATTGTGGCACAAGAGTTTGAACCTCTGCTGCCATACTGA